CTGCGTCCCAGTGGAACTGTAGCCCACCAGGCTCCTCTGTCCATGGGATTCTTCAGGCAAGAATACTGGAGTGGGTTGCCATGCCCTCCTCCAGGAGATCTTCCTGACCCAGGAATTGAACCCATGTCTCTTACGTCTCCTGCGCTGGCAGGCTAAACTCTCCATCACTGGGAACTGCTACCATCACCGTCCTGCATGCAGACGTGGGCCCAGGATGGGGCGGGGGTGGTGTGCCCAAGGTCACACAGTGAGATGGTAGTAGCAGACGCTGGCCTATTTTGGCTCCCTCCTTCTCCCTGGCAGTCGTCCTCGAAAGTCAGGCGTGAATTTCCTCCACAGCAAGGTACTCCCGAAACCACTGAACTACTCCAATGAGGCCTGGGTCCAAGTGTTGTTCCCATGGTATGTGCCGTGGTGTGCACGCACATGTGCCGTGTTTAAAATCACAGCTCCAAGAGTCGGAGGCTGGGTTGGCAGGATACCCAGTACCCACCCGTCTCCCTGTATTCTGTGCTGCGTATCATGAGCGGCGTGAGATTTCTCTGTGCTTTCAAGCCTCAGCCCCCTCCTGGCACATGACGTGCCTTTGGAGAGGCTGCGACAGAGTAGCAAGCGCACTGAGTCAAGGGCAGGAGCTGGAGCCATTACATATTACAGGACAATGGTAAGAGGCCGTTTCTTCTGCACGCTCGCTCTGTGACATTACTGAAACCCATGCACTTCCTATTTTATTCAATCCTCCCAGTTACCCAGGGAGTGAAGAATTACTTAAGGAGCCCATTTTACACATACGGAAACTGAGGTTCAGAGAAAATAAAGAACTCACCCAGAAACACACAGATAGAGCCAGAAAGGGCCTTAACGATCTTCCCTGTGGCAGAAGGGTGGCCAGCCGTCCCGGAGGCCCAGGTTTGAGGAGACACTGTGGATACTTGGCATTCACAAAGCAGGACAGACGCGTCTCCATCTAGCATCTTAGCATATTCTTTGCGGATGTCAAACCTGATCCTGGACAGGACGGGGGTGAAGACGTGTTTGAGGGGAGGGAAAAGAGGGATATTATTAAGGGGGGTTGTCCTTAAAATTAGGATTGTCCCTGATGAAGGTTCAGAATCCACTTGCTTAGACCTAGAGCTTGTTTACCCCCCACCCTGTCTCTCAGCAGATGCTGAATATCACTGCCTCACTGAAGCCCTGCCTCTTTCCATTCCTTCTAAAGATCAAGTTGTCTTTCTAGGGACAAGGTCTAAAAAACAGCACTTCAATTTCCCAATTCCCATCCAGCCAGCAGCCCTGCCCCCATCCCNAGGTTCTAGGTTCATCCACCTCATTAGAACTCACATGAGTTCCTTTTTATGGCTGAGTAATATTCCATGTCACTCAGTCATGTCCGACTTGTTTGCGACCCCATGGACTATAGCTCGCCAGGCTCCTCTGCTCATGGAATTTCGCAGGCAAGAATGCTGGAGTAGGTTGCCATTTCCTCCTCCAGGGGATCTTCCCAACCCAGGGATCGAACCCATGTCTCCTCCATCTCCTGCACTGGCGGGCGGATTCTTTACCACTGAGCCACCTGGGAAGCCATTGTGTATGTGCATCACGACTCCTTTATCCATTCATCTGTCAGTGGACTTCTAGGTTGCTTCCATGTCCTAACTATTGTAAATAGTGCTGCAGTGAACAGTGGGATGCATTTGTCTCTTTCGATTTTGGTTCCCTCAGGGTGTGTGCCTAGGAGTGGGATTGCTGGGTCATGTGGTGGTTTTATTCCTAGGTTTTAAGGACTGTCCATACTGTCTTCCATAGTGGCCGTATCAATTTACATTCCCACCAACAGTGCAAGAGCATTCCTTTTTCTCCACACCCTCTCCAGCATTTTTTAATGCAGTGTTTTTTTTTTAATGCAATGTCTCAACTAGTTATTTTTCTTCATAATTTTATTTCTTTTTGGCTGTGTTGGGTCTTTGTTGCTGTGCAGGCTTTTCTCTGGTTGCGAGGAGTGGGGGCTACTCTCTGGTTGCGATGCAGGCTTCTCACTGTGGTGGCTCTCTTGCTGCAAACCACGGGGCTCCAGGGCAAGCAGGCTTCGGTAACTGTGGCCTGTGGGCTCCGTAGTTGTGGTTCCCAGGCTCTAGAGCACAGGCTCGGTAGTGGTGGTGCACGGGCTTAGTTGTTCTACGGCCCACGGGATCTTCCCAGATCAGGGATTAAGCCATGTCATCTGCATTGGCAGGTGGATTCTTTACCACTGAGCCACCAGGAAGGTCCCTTTGGTAAGTTCTGGCTGAAGCCAGTATGGGGTGGAAGCAAGCTGGGTGCCCCTACCTCCCGAAGAGCTCACCATCAAGTCCCTTCTTGAATTAAAGAATGGAGCCCAATGCCAAACTAGAACACTCAAGAGATTTGGAGGTCCCAGCTGTCTCTGCCTTCAACTAAACAATGAGCATCCTGGGTTTGGTACCCGAAAGAAATGGGTACCATGAGAGCTCTGGGAGAGTTAAGGAAACCAGAGCCCAGGGTGGGGGCAGATAGGGAGGTGGACCAATTCTCCCCAGTGAGGAAGGACATAGCAATTTGGGCTGGTTTTCTCTGCAAGCCAGAAGGCCAGCAGCAAGATGCCGAAAGACTCAGCCTGTCAACACACGGGCCACACAGGCTCACACAGCAGAGAAATGACACAGCAGGAGGGCGATGCATGAATACACAGACATACACACACATACAGCGACGCCAGATGGAGAAAGCAGCCCAGGCTGGGTCTGGGTATTCATGACTCCCTCACCCACACAGAGGGGCTGGCGGAGTTACATAATGCAAGCTGCAAAAGGGAGAGGCTGAACTTGCTAACCACCACCCTCCCTTGAGGGGGATCTGGGAGGTAGCACCTCTTTCTCGGGGTGCAGGGGGAGTTATCCTCACCCACCCCCTGCTTTCAGAGGCAACAGGAGTTTATCGGCTGCCTCAGCCCTGGGGTGACCCTGGAAATTGGTTAAAAGGGAAACAAGGGAGTGTCGCTTTGTCAGTAGCAGCAGATAAGGGCTCGCTCCTTGGGCGAAGGAGTTTTGAGGATGCTGACGGCAAGGGGTGCCAGGGCAGAGAGGAGATGGAGGCTGGAGCTGGAGGGTAGGAAAAGAGATGAAGGGATTTCTGCTACCTCCCACCCTGCCCCACTCTACCCGTAACCCACAGGTCACCTGCCCCAACCCAGACACATAAGATGTGCTTCCATAGCTGCTCACTGGGCCCATGCCATGGGTGCACACACCTCACCTGGGCTACAGCATCTTCAGTTGGCCTCCCTGTGGTCCTTCGGTACTCCAACCGCTTCTCTGAGTCTGGTGAAGCTGGTGGGTAGGAAAAGAGATGAAGGGATTTCTGCTACCTCCCACCCTGCCCCACTCTACCCGTAACCCACAGGTCACCTGCCCCAACCCAGAGACATAAGATGTGCTTCCATAGCTGCTCACTGGGCCCATGCCATGGGTGCACACACCTCACCTGGGCTACAGCATCTTCAGTTGGCCTCCCTGTGGTCCTTCGGTACTCCAACCGCTTCTCTGAGTCTGGTGAAGCTGGTGGGAGTCGCAAAAGTCACTAGATTATAAATTGTTAAAAACTAGAGTGTTTAAAAGCTCAGACTCAAGAATGGAGCAGATCTGAATTCAAATCCTCCCCCCACCATCCTTCTCCACCTGACCTTGGACAAGCCACTGAACCTTCCCAAGCTTCAGTCTTCTCATCTGTTGAAGGGTGAACTGTGAAGATCAAAGGAGGAAAAAAATACACTGTACAAACATATGCACTCAATGAGTGTTCACTGTCTTTTGGGATTTTTCTTGTTCCACAAATATTTGTTGCACACCAGCTCTGTGTTTATCTAACCCTAGGGGGACACAGTCCACACCTCCTAATGTTTCTCTGTTAGGATTTCAGACAGTCTGTGATACACAAATGCCCTCCAGAGTTTGACGTGGGCCTGTGTCTTTGGTATTTATTATACCAATTTTGGCTTATCATGGGATGGAGTGTGGCCAAGTCTGTCCTTTTGAACCTGAAATAAGTGAATCATTACAAAAATGATGGTCCTAAAGTCCAGCTGACTTCCCTCATCCGTGTTTCTGTAGAAGGTGACATCATTTCCTGTTGATGGGTTTGCACTGGGGGCTTTGGGAGTGGTGGGAATGGAGAGCCCCACACCCTGCAGTCTTGTCGGCCAAGCTCCTGACCTGAGGATGGAAAAATATTGCAAAAAGCAGAGAGGCAATGGCTGCATGACAGGGTTGGAGTGCTGACTTCTTCCAGTGAAAAAAAGATGAGAGGTCTTAGGGTTCTTGCCATTTGATTTCTGGGGCTGACTCCTCAGTGGTTTCCCCAAGGAGTCCCCCTGTCTCATAGGGCTTTGATCATGGAAATGAAACCAAGCAATATGCAGCCACCTGTGAGTGTGCCCGCCCGCCCCCCACCCCAGAGGAAGAAGAATTTTGTGTCTAGGTTGTCTTCAGAACTCCAGAGCATCTTATGGCTAGACTTCTCAATTGGCTGCGTTTCTCTTGTTAGTTTTAAAGGTGGTCTTGGGCATCCCATATCCATCTCTCTTTTTTTTTTTTAATCCTTTTCCTCCCCTCCCTTGTTCCTTCTCTTGACCTCAGGAAGCCCCGGATCGGATCTGCCTCTGACAGGCTGGCGATGCCCAGTGGGTAGTCCGCACTAGCATGCGTCACCCCTAGGCACAGCCACCAGACACATCTCCTCCCGGATCTGCCTGACCTGTGGCGTAGGGACTCATCCCACCGCTTCCCCTGACGTCTGCCTGATCAACCATCGCTTCCTTAGAGACCGAGGACGGAGGCAGACGCAGGAAATCATGCCACCGACGGCCCGACAGCAATGAGCGAGTGACGCTGAGTTGACGTCAGAGGCACAGAAGACCAGCCGGAGAGCAGCTCCCCGTCCGGGCTCCAGCCCTGCAGCACCAGTCCCCCGGCTCCTCCCGGCGCAGCCTAAAGCCTGGCCGCTCCTGGGGACCTGGCCTCGGCCTGACCCGTTTTGAGGTCTGTGGGCCCTTGGACACTAGACACCATGGAGAGCCACATGTTCAGCGTTCAGCAGATTCAACCCAACGTCATTTCTGTCCGCCTCTTCAAGCGCAAAGTGGGGGGCCTGGGGTTCCTGGTGAAGGAGAGGGTGAGCAAGCCACCTGTGATTGTCTCTGACCTGATCCGAGGGGGCGCCGCGGAGCAGAGCGGCCTCATCCAGGCCGGGGACATCATTCTCGCCGTCAACGGCCAGCCCTTGGTGGACCTGAGCTATGACAGCGCCCTGGAGGTGCTCAGGGGGATTGCCTCCGAGACCCACGTGGTTCTCATCCTCAGGGGCCCCGAGGGCTTCACCACGCACCTGGAGACCACCTTCACCGGGGATGGGACCCCCAAGACCATCCGGGTGACCCGGCCCCTGGGTCCCCCCACGGCAGCCGTTGACCTGTCCCACCAAGCGTCAGCCGGGAGAGAGCAGACGCTGGCGGTGGACGGGGCCATGGGTCCCGGCAATGGGCCCCAGCATGCGCCAGACCCAGGGCAGGAAGCCAGCTCGCTTGCCCATGCCAACGGCCTGGCTGCCAAGCCCCCAGGCCAGGACCCTGCCAAGAAAAGTGCCGGGGTCACCCTCCAGGGCAGCGGGGAGAACAATAAACTGCTCAAAGAGATAGAGCCTGTCCTGAACCTTCTCACCAGTGGGGGCAGAGCGATCAACGGAGGGGGACCTGCCAAGACAGAGACCAAGGATGTGGAAATCCAGGTGGACAGGTAAGCTCCTGGGGTACGTGTGTTGTACGCAAGCATGTGTGGCAACTCAGTCTCACAGCCCGGGAGCAAAGCTGAGTGTCTCAGGCATCCGAGCACACACACACCCACTTAACCCCCCTTGCTTCTTGCCCTGGAAATTGCCATTGCGAAATGCAATGGGCATGTCTAGTGCGTACCTCTTGCCATGAAACTCAGAGCTCATAACCATGGTAGCTGAGGCCCCATCTTCCAGCACCCCCACAAGGTGGGTATTTTTGCAATCCACATTTCAAGAGTGAGAAGACTGAGGCTCAGATGGTGCAGCCTTCCCTGAGGTCACTGCATGAGGAGAGGCACCTGGGCATGGCTGACCTGAGTGTGGATGGATGCTGAGAATCTGGGGAGAGAGAGGAAGAGCTGGGTGCTGGGCGACCCTCAGCCCAAACTGGCTCTCTCCTGGGGGCAGCCCATCCAGGGCAAGAAAACTTCAAAAGAGAGAAACTGGAGACAAAGTAGAGAATTAGTCCCCATTCCCCAAAACACTGGCATTGCTCCGATTACATGGAAGCTAAGACCAGCAGTTGAAGAACAGGGTACCAGAGACTTCCCTGGGGGTCCAGTGGTTAAGGCCCCATGCTTCCCCTGCAGGGGCCACAGGCTCAATGCCTGGTCAGGAAACTAAGATCCCACATGCCGAGTGGTGTGGCCAAAAAATTAAAAAAAAAAAAAAAACCAGAACTGGGTACCAGCCCCTCTGTATTTGCCGGATTGGCATTTTCTGACCCTCTGGGGGAGGAGGGCGGCTGCACAGTTGGTGAGGAGCAGATGGGCCAGGTGGTGGGGAAATAGGAGACCCAGGAGACACAAGTTCGATCTTGGGTTGGGAAGATCCCCTGGAGTAGGAAAATGGCAACCCACTCCAGTATCCCTGCCTGAAAAATCCCATGAATAGAGGAGCCTGACAGGCTGCAGTCCAAAAGATCGCAAGGAGTTGGTCACAACTGAGCAACTGAGCAAACACACGCATGGAGGGGGGCAGGTTTTCTCTCTGCCTTCTTCCACTCCCCTCTAAGGTCTAGCACTGACACTACAGCCCACAGTGTTACTAGGCAGATCCTGTGAGCCACAGAGGGAGGCTCCAGCCTGAGGTCCCCAGAAATCCAGGCCAAGCTTTCCCAGTCCTCTTCTCTAGGACCCCTGAGAGTCCCAAGGGTGTTTAGAGGTCACTGGGAAATCCTGTGGGGACCTGAATTGACTAGCTCCCAGGCCCCTGCCTGTATTCATATAGGAAGTGTTCACAGAGGACCTGCTCTGTGCAGGTACTCTTTTGGGCCCTGGACTGGACAAGGACAAGTCCTCTGACTTTGGGGGGTGACTGAAATAGACAAACCCCCTGACTTGGGGAGCTTGCAGTGCAGTGGGGAAGCCAAAGAAGCAGCGAGATGTTAGAGCTGTAAATCATTAGTCATACGCGCTGAGGAGATAAATAGAGCGGGGAAGGGCTAGGAAGTGTTGGGGAAGGTAACATTGCAGGTGGGAAGCTGGCAGGTTGCACTAGGAAGGCAACGTGGGAGGACCCGGAGGAAGGGGCGGGGGGAGGCTCACAGCTGCAAGGGGGAGGGGCATCCAGGCAGAGGGAACGGCAGGTGCCAAGGTCCTGAGGTGCACTTGTGCCTGCATGGGACCCAGTCCTGGCACGGCAGCCCCCAGACCGCCCACTGTGCACCCCCATCTGTGGAAGCCCACCCTGGCCACCATTGCATCCTGGGACTTTTCCAGCATCTCACGCCTGGCCAGAAACTGAGCCAATGCCAGCAAGACCCCCAAAGAGGAATGTGGAGGCTCTGTCGGAAGGCCTGTGAGGAGGGCGACAGAGGGCACCCCCTGCCCGCCCAGCTCCCGCCTCCCACCCTCTCCTCCTCTCTCCTGCGAGTTCCCCACAGACACCCTGGAGTCTCTGCCCCACTCTGGTCCCATCTCCATGAGAGACAGCGAGTCTTAGGCCCCGTACACAGGGTGTGGTGTGACCCTCTTGGTGAGACAGAAGATTTGGGGGTCCCCAGTGGCCTAACGTCCATTTCCAGAGCTGGAGGCCAGGATCACATCCTCAGGGTTCTCCCAGTGGCAGTGACCTGGCATCTCATCCTCCCACAGCCAGCACAGGAGCCACCCCCTCCCCCCGAGGCTAGAACCCACTTCCCAGGGGTCCCCATGTGACATGTGTCCCCTGTGACATGCTCGGTGGAGATGGCGGGTGTAGCTGTGAGGTAGTTTCTGGGCAGCCAATAGGCACTCCCAAGTCTCACCCAGTGGGCTTGAGTTCTAAGGCAGCTAGAGACTCCAGAATCAATCACTGGCCTGCTTTTCCAGGCGGCGTCGGAAGTGCCCATCCTAAGAGGCTCCTGGGCATGGCCTCTCCCCGCTGAATCCTATACGTGCCCCACCCATCCTCAGCACCACCTCTTGCAGAAGCAGGAGTGAGACCATGAATAGGACCATCTCACCTTGCTTGCCAGTGGAACCCCTGGGTCTAATGTCCCGTATGCTTGGTTCTGATTCTCAGCTAGGCGTGGGGTGTGAGCCTCAGAACCCCATGGGCTGTTTCAGCCCCACCCCGGCCCCAGAGTCTGACTCTCCAGTTACGATGTAGAGAAGTCCCTTCTATAGGTGGGAGCTGCATGCTCCATCCCAGGAGCAAATACTAGCAAATACCCTCTCCTAGCCTGCAGTCTAGGACATAAAGTCTGCGGACAGGACCCCAGGCTGGGATGAGTTCCTTGAGTCCCATGAACTTTAACGGGAGCCCACTTGGTAGCCAGGCCCCCAGGGGCTTCTCCAAACACCACCTTGGGGAAGCAGCCTTTGTGTCCCCAAGAATGAGGGAGAGATAGACCCGTCTGCCTGGGGGTGCTGCTCCCACAGACCCATTTCCCACCTCAGGAGGTGACATCTGAGCTCTCAGCTGCCCTGAGAGCATCAGGGAACTCCCTCTAGGGACCCAGCATCACCTTCAGTGTGATTGACCACAAGTAGCTGAAAAAACTGCTTTGGTAGAGATACATTTTGGGAGAAAGTGACCCAGGGCAAGTATGTGCCTCCACAAAAGCCACTGAGATGAATGGCTCTAAGGATGAGTAATATTGTGTAATAGCATGTATTCCCCCCCGACTCCATGGCTGGATGCAAAGCTCCCCCCCTTCACTCTGTTTTTTTAACAAATATTTTGAAATGCCCCCTTCACTAACCAGAAGCTCCTTCATGGAGCACGTAGCCTACCCACACTTTACATTTTTTAAATCAGTATAATGCCCTAACAATAAAATAAAGGTGATAGAGCATAAAAGTCATTTGTAATGAAAGAGCCTATAATTTAACATATCAGCGCACAGGCACGGCTCCACCGGAATGTCACATGTTGGCACCTAAAGATAGAATCGCTGCAAACACGATGCAGATTGACACAGGTGTGTTGTGTTGGCAACTCAGACGCCACCTGCAACACAGTGTCGCCTTGGTGATGCGATTTTCCCAAATGGTGAATGATTCCTGGTAAAACGATAAATCCCAATAGTTGCAAGTTCAGTAGAATTTAAAGTTGAATTTATACATAAACCCACATTGAGATTTTGGCTGAGAGATTGAAGCATGTTTCATGTTTTTGTTTTTGTTTTTAATCTAAGCAGATGTCCAGAGTTTGCAAGGCAGTCAGGACCCTTCCTCCTTGAGTGGGTTTGTCATTTGTGTTGCCAGGGTGTCCCTCACCCATGACATCACCTCCCTCCCACTGTGATGTCAGAAGCATCAGCCATCGTCGTAATAACCACAAAAGCGCCCCCACAGGTTGCAAAGCTGTCTGCTCACGGCTAAAATAAGTGTCTCATTGTGAATCAGTGTCCCAAGTCAGGAAACGCAACTCCAGAGGCAGCATGTCGTTCGGAGCCCATCTCAGGGCTGCTGGCCTGGGAATGTTCAAGCCCCACAGCACACACGGCTGCCTGGAAATGACTCATCCTCCCAGGCCCATTTCCATCCAGGCTGCTTTTGGGGGTGGGGTCAGAGCAGCATCCTAGATGCATCCTAGCAGCTGGGTGACAGTGAAGCCAGCAGCCCGCTGGGCCCGGAGCCCCACGTCCGGGTCCCACTCGGCGTCCGTGGCTTCTGGGTCCGAGCAGAGGCTGGGCCATCACAGGTTCTCAGCAGGACCTTGACTCCTCTGCTCTCTTGGCCTCGTTTTCCTCCTTCCATCCTTCTTTCCTCTTGGACCTGGACTTATTCCCTGCTGCAGCTAGTCCCTTTCCCTCAGGGGGCACCCCTGTCCTGTTGTTTGAGGTGTCAGCCTGTGTTTGGGGAGATAAGTGATGTTGACTTGAGACACAGTCTCCTCCCTTCATCCCAGGAGGAGGGAGGGGGCCCTGGCAGGCAGTGACAGCAGGTGAAGGGTGATCAGGAAGGGAGGCGGCGAATTCGGGGCCTTCTGTACTTAGGAGCGGTCACTTTAAAATGCTGCATGTCAGAGGATATCCAGGTTGCTCAGCTTGCTGCCCTGAAGGAGGGTTCTAAAGAGGCCAAGGTCCACGGTCCAGCATCCATCTGGACCAGCCGGCCAGCCACCTCGCCCTGCGCTCTGATAACTCCTCGTCCGCTTGCAGGGCCCTCCCTTGGTTACTTATAGGAGTACCTTCAAACAGTCACCTCTTTAGAACCTGTACGAATGCAGCTCCCAAAGTAGGACCTGTGGTTCTAGCCCCCGCCTTAGAAGAAGGAACTGAAGCTCAGAGAGGTGAAGCAACTTGCCCAGGGTCACACAGCACTGGCCACAGGATTCTCTCCAGGTTCCACCTAGAAATCTCACAGTGAGTGTCTAGAGTTTAAAAAGAAACCAGACAAGCAAATGTGCCTGGAGGAACAGAAGTCGATTTTAACCCTAGAGAATCAGCTTTTTTTTTTGGGGGGGGGGGGGCTCCTCCTGTGACAAGCCTGAGTTTCATCCCCATCATGTTAGCCAGCCTCTGCTGAGCACTCCAGGTGGGCCTGGCCCCAGGCTATGGTTTTCACATCAAGTAATTCACTTCCTGCACATAGCACCCCATTTTCCTGATAGGAAACCAAGGCTCAGAGAGGTGCAGTCACTTGTGCCAGGTCACACAGCCAGCCTGCAGCAAAGCTAGAACTTGAGCCTAAGCCCATGTTCTTGACCTCTACTAAGCTTGTAGATTGCACTCTTGGCCACAGTGCCCTTAACCACTAGCCATCAAATTTCTGAGGATATCAGAGTATTTTCTCAGCCTGGAGGGGAAACCAAGGCCCTGAGGTTGCCATCTACTAAAGACAGCCTCCCTAGAGAGATGACCTCAGATCAACCAATGTCAGCACTGATGCCAGGACTGTCTGCCTTAGAGACCCTCCTCCTAGGCTGCACTTGACCTTTCTCATGGCTGTGGATCACTCTGGTGGCATTTTCATTTTTTCTTTTCTACTGTTTTTTTTTTTAATTCTTTCTCTTTTGGGGGGAATTTTTCAACTCAGGAATTAACTCTGATAACTTTGCCATCATGCAGAATCTGGGAGCAACTTTTCATGCTCACCCTGACCGTTCGAGTGTGAGTGACTTCCAGCACCGTCCCCCTACCACCATGCATTCTTTCCCAGGCAGGGGATAGGGGTCCTATTTATACCAGTTAATGCACTTGCTCTGTGCCCTACTCCCATGGATGTCCCTGCCACCTGGTCTAGTGGGCACCCAGCCCCTCATTCTGGAAGAGAAATAAGCTCACTCACCTCAAATTGCGTGTCACTGATGGCTTCTCAGCATCTCTCAGTCACTGGATATTTATGGAGCATCTATTCTGCCTCAGATACTGTCCTCAGAGCTGGGGATCCACTGATGATCCACTACAGAGTCATCTCATAGACAACACGCAAGGAATAATAAATAGACACATGCAGTCGTTTTAGATGGTGATATGTGCTGCGAAGGAGATAATATAGTGGTTTCAAGAGAAGTGGCTTGGGGCTGGGTAGCATGTTAGATTGGAAGGATGGGGAAAACCTCTCTGCAGGCATCTGTACCAAGGCCAGAACCATGCAAAATCTAGGCAGGTGTGTTCCTGGAAGAGGGCACAGCAGGAGCAAAGGTCCTGAGGCAGGAACGAGGTTGGGATGTTCAAGGAACTAAAGGGAGGCCTTGAGTGTAGCAAGTAGGAGGAGAGTGATAAGCAGTAAGGTCAGACAGACACCGGGGCAGGACCATCAACCATCCCCCCCTCGCTCGTTGTATCCGCCATCATTCCTATGGCTGCTAACGTATGACCACAACGTTGGTGCCTCAAAACAACACACCTTGGAACTTCCCTGGTGGTTCAGTGGTTAAGAATCCACCTTGAAATGCAAGGGACATGGGTTCAATCCCTGGTTGGGGCACTAAGATCCCACATGTCATGGGGCATAGCCAAAAAACTTTTTCTTGAAAAGTAAATTTTTGGCAAAACAGATACATCAAGATATTTTACATTAAAACCTATCCCCAGCCTCTCAGGAAAAAAAAAAAAAAAAGATATATCAGAGGGGCTGTTAGCAAGAAGTCACATCCCAGTAAGACAATCGGCCTCAGGAGCTGGGATCCAAATTCAGCCCCATCCCCCCTAGCCTGGGACCTACAGACATGAGTTGGAGAATCCTGCCCAGCTTTTGTGATCTTAGGAATGAGAGTCATGGTTGTTTCTGAGCCCAGAGGCCCTCACCTCACTTCTCAGCTACAGCGCTAACCATGGAATTCCTGCTCTGAAGAGTGTACCTTTACCAATAACCACCCCCCCAACTCCAGCATGATGGAATCTAGAAGGAAAGCTGCACAGAAACCCCACACCTGCTTGCACAGCCCCCCAAATCTTCCTGCTTTGACTCAGCTCTCAGAATCTGCAACCAGGTAGAAGCAGAAGCCAAAGACCATTGGAGTGTGGAGGGCGAGCCGGGGGAGTCGGAGAGAGCGTGGTGTCTGCGGAGAGACGCGGGCAGGGCTTCCTGCCAGGACCAGCTGCTCCTCGGCGGCCTCCTCGCCTGGTTGGGCCAGAGCTGGCGGCCCCCACCTCCAGGCTGCACCCTGCATCCAGGCCTAGCCCACCTGCTCCCCATCCTGGGTCCTTGGTTGGGGGAGATTAGTGGTCAGCATGGGGCCAACCGATACACGTGCAGACTGCCTGTGGAGTCCAGCCTGGGACCCCCATCCCCATGCCTGAGAGATCAGGGAGCCTCAGTTGGAAGGATCTAGCAAAGATCCTCAGAAGGTTTAGAGATGCTAGACCGACTCTTGGCTTGAGTATGAGGATCCAACTAGTGAAGTGGAAGGAAAGGGCTTTAGTTTAGTTCTTGCCAAGAAGCACAGAAGATGCTCGCCAGGTAGGAGGGAGAGCCTCACACTAAGGCAGGGGGCTGGGGGGAGAAGAGCTGGGGGAGGGCGGCGCTTCTAGCCACGAGGGCACCTGGCTGCTCACTGCACCAGTCTTGCCCAGAGTTCTCCCAGGGAAATGGGTCTTCACAGCTGTCTTTGGCTGATGTAGGTGCTTTTGACAATGCAGAGTCCAGGCTTCCCACTATTTCAGACTCTCCGGAGATGGGCTAGGGGAAATTTTAACAAGCCTCTCAGTTGATTCTGATGTACCCTGACGTTTGAGAACCACCAGGCTTGACCACATGATGGCTCTGGCCTTGCTGGTCTGCCACAATGCCAGGTTCACTGGAGGATGTCTTTTCAGGGGAATAAAAACACCAAGCAGATGTGGGAGCCGCTGAGCGAGGGCAGGTTCCTCAGTCCCGTCTGGGAACAAGGGACAACTAGTAAATAAATCCTCATAGACCCCCGGGTGGGTATGGATCAAGGATGGGAGAGCTGGGAAGCATGGGTTTGGGTTCCTTGATTGAAGCTAAGCCCTGCTTCTCAATAGGGAGGAGTCTAGTTCCTCCCCTTCCCACGGGGACATTGATCAATGTCCTGGGATGTTTTCATTTGTCACAGCTGGTGATAGAGATGTTACTGGTGTCTAGTGAGGAGAGACCAAGGATGCTGTTAAACATTCTCCAATGCACAGGGCAGCCCCCACCACAAAGAATTATCTGAACCCAAATTCCAGTAGTTACAGGCTGAGAATTTCTGATCTAAACCAAGATCCCTGAGGCAGCTGGGCAGGACCAAGACTCAAAAGTAACTGGCCAAGGAGAGTCACCATTCAGGCTTCTCAGAAGTCAAGCCAGGCCCCATCTACCTCCATCTGTGGGCTCCCAATGTATTTACTTAAATGAAGAAATGATAACCCGGAGTTACCAAAATTGCATTTAGTGGACAACATATTCACTACCTACCTACCTACCCACCACGTCATTTGGGGTGAAACATTCGGTATCTAAATTTGAGGTTCTTCATGAGTGTAAAATCCAATCAAATGCCCCCCCCAAGCCCTGTTCTCAGTGATTCTCAATGAGGAAGGCAGCGAGAAAGAGACATTTGATTGCAAAACGTCCTCTGCTTCTCACTGGTGGTGTGATCTTGACAAGTTAACTAATCTCTCTGGACTTCAATCACCACAAGTTAAATGTTAGTCGCTCAGTGGTGTCCAACTGTTTGCAACCCCATGGACTGTAGCCCAGCAGGTTCCTCTGTCCATGGGATTCTCCAGGCAAGAATACTGGAACGGGTAGCCATTCTTTTCTCCAGGGGATCTTCCTGACCCAGAGATCAGATACAGTTCATGTTTGGTCAGAGCTGACTGTATACTAGGCATTTTACAAGCATGATCTTATTTAACTCCCATGGGAGGTGGTGTGTGAAATGGGCCTTGTAAGGGTGAGTAGGAGTTGACTCTTAACAGAGGGGAGATGAAAGGGCATTCCAGGGAGGGCAAGGATAGATGTAGGGGTGGACATGGTGTGCTCCCTGGCAAGAGAGGAGAGTGGAGGTCGGGGCTAAGAATGATGGAAGGTGGGAGTCTGGAAAGGAAGCACAGAATTCCCAAATCCCTGGGCTCTGTGAACAAGACATCATAGCTCAATGGGCAATTACTCAGCCATAAGAAAGAATGAAATAATGCCATTTGCAGCAACATGGATAGACCTAGAGAATATCGTACTGAGTGAAGTAAGTCAGACAAAGACAAATACCATATAATACCACTTATATGTGGAATCTGAAAAAATGATACAAATGAACTTATTTACAAAACAGAAATAGACTCATAGGTGTAGAAAACAAATTTATCTGGCAGGGGGGGGGATAAATTAAGAGTGTGGGATTAACATTTGCACACTACTGTATAGAAAAGTTTTTTTTTAAAAAGCAAGGTTGTACTGCATAACACAGGAAACTACACTTAGTATCTTCTAATAACCTATAATAGAAAGGAATCTGAAAACATATGTGTGTGTCTGTATGTGTGTATCAGTGAATCGATTTGCTAGACACCTGAACTAACACAACATTGTAAATCAAATATACTCTCTGCTGTGCTGAGTAGCTCAGTGGTGTCTGACTTTTTGTGACCCCAGAGACTACAGCCCACCAGGCTCCTCTGTCCATGGGATTCTCTAGGCAAGAATACTGGAGTGGGTTGCCATTTCCTACACCAGGGGATCTTCTCAACCGAGGGATCAAACCCATGGCTCCTGAAGCTCCTGCATTGGCAGGCAGATTTTTTACCACTGAGCCACCTGGGAAGCCTTGTATATAATATATGTGCATATATATATATATATATATATGCACATATATATGTGTATATGTAGTATATATATATGAACCCATGAAAAAGAAATGGCAACCCACTCCCAATATCCTTGCCAGGGAAATCCCAGGGACAGAGCACCTTGGCAGGCTACAGTCCATGGAGTCCCAAAAGAGCTGAATACAACTTAATGATTAAACAATAGCAATATATGTATGTATAACTGAATCACTTTGCTGTACACTTGAAACTAATGCAGCATTGTAAGTCAACTATCCTTCAATTAAAAAAAAAAAAGTGTCTGAGTGCAGACATCCCTGCCTGTGCCCCCATAAGCCCCCGGGGAAGACTCCCCTGTCTCAGTTAGGAGCCGTATATGCCTTCAGTCTTTAGAGATATTAAGGCTTTGGCCAGCACCACACAGTGCTATAGCCACTAACTATATATGGCTAATTAAAGTGAAATAAAATTAAAAATTCAATTAATTCCTCAGTGACAATAGGTGCTTTTTTTTTTAGCCGAGCCACATAGGGGATCTTTGTTCCCCACCAAGGGATTGAACCCATGACCCCTGCAGTGGAAGCGCAGAGTCTTAACCGCTGGATGACAAGGGAAGTCCCTAAGTACATTTCAAGTATCCGGTTGCCTCGTGTGGTCCGTGGCTAAAATACCAAAAACACAAGCAGACGTGGAATGTTTCCATTGACTCAGAAAGTTCTCCTAGACCGTGCTGACTTAGAGGAATCTTGACTGTTTTAGAAAGAACTAGCATTTTCCTTTCTCTGTTTCTGTCTGATCAGCCTACAGACACATCAGTAGTCAAAGCAGTAGCAGACGCCACAGGCTAAGTGCTGTGAGCCTTACCTCCTGTAATTGTTGCAGTAACCCCGGGAACTGGGTTTTATTATTAACCCTATTTTAGAGATGAGTATACTGAAAAATAGAAAGTTTAAGTGGCCAAAATATCCAAAGTCACACAGCTTACAACCAGCAAAGCTGAGAGTTGAACCCAGCTCCACCCAATCCACAGCCTGTAGATCCCACTGCCCGTACAAACCTAAAAAACAGACACATCCCAGGCTAAGCAAATTCCTGGCAATAAACTGCTCATCTTCCTCAGAGCTGACTTTTACTGAAAACCTGGGGCCGGGAGTGGGAATTCAGAATCGACGTAAATCTACTCCTGATTTTGTCCCTGGATGCAGAGAGGCAAAATAACTTCTTGTCAGATGCTGAAGGCTGTTCCCTGTGGTCCCATGTTAAAAATATTCTTGTTTTAAATTGGAGGGTAATTGCTTTCCAATGTTGTGTTGGCTTCTGCTGTACAATAAAGCAAGTCATACCCCTCCTTCTTGAGCCTCCCTCCCATCCACCCCCATCCCTCTCCTCCGGGTCATCGTGGAGCACGGGGCCTGGGCTCCCTGTGTTACTCAGAAGCTTCCCATCAGCTCTCTCTCGTACGCACGGTGCTGTATATATGTCCATGCTGCTCTCTGCTATTCTTGCCACCCTCTCCTTCCCCTGCCATGTCCTCAAGACCATCCTCTACACCTGCATCTCTATTCCTGCCAGGCTAACAGGCTCATCAGTACCATTTTCTAGATTCCATAGATATGTGTTAACATATAACATTTGCTTTTCTCTTTCTAACTGACTTCACTCTGTATAACAGGCTCTAGTTTCGTTCACCTCATTACAGTTGTCTCAAATAAAGAGATTCTTCCCCGGCTCATCACAGAGCTCTTATATAAGTTTGTGTTGACAAAACACTTCAAATATATTATTTAAACAAAAGTGTTAAAGGCTTTTTTAAAAAAAAAAAAAAAAGAGCAAAGGATGATGATAAAAGCACGTCTCCCTGCAGATTCACACAAGACAAGCTGTGTGAGCCATTTAAGAGCCACCTGGGAAATCAGACCCTGTAATCTTTGTAAACTGGCCTCATTCGGTGAGAGATGCTGGATTCCTAGCTCTTTAGCCTCTGGCTTATCCCGTGCATCCTGACTCGTTTTCCCAGTCTGTTTACAAAAAGGAAGGATCTGGGCCGAGCATCAGTCAGACCGAGTTTCAAATCCCAGCTCTGCTTTGTGTTTGCTGAGAAACCTTGGGAAATTAACATAACCTCTCTGGTCTCAGTTGTTGCATCTGTAAAATAGGGAGGCTTTTAATATCTGCTGAGAGGAATGAAATAACTTCTGTGCTGGTACCTGGTACATTACCAACACTCAAACAGCGCTAAACTCCTCTCTTCTCTGCTGATTCCCCACTTATGGTCACATGACATCCTTGGAGCTGGAGTTTTAGCACTGAGAGGGGCTGCATGACATTTAGAACATCCGTCTCCGCAGACAATGGCTCTGTTTATCACCACGTAGGTAAACCGCTGGCTTGGGAAATGTCTGTAATCAAGAACCACTCCTGCTGTGTTTTGGTGACATTTTTAAGAGAGTAAAACATGATGTTCCCTCTTACAACTGCAGACCTCTCCAAGCAAGATGAGCAGAAGTGGTTTCAGCATGGGCCCCCAGGACGCGGCCAGGCAAAGCAAGGAGGGCCTTCTGGGTGGCTCTGTCCGAGCAGCCGGAGGGGCCACGTAGGGCCTTACACTCAGAACCTGGGCCCTGGCCCCTGAGTCATCCCAAATGACCGTCAGCACCAGGTTGGGAGCTGGGGGAATTTATGGAGCCAAGAGTCCCCGAAGCTGGGAACATAGGATGGAGAGCTGGATACGGCCAGCCTCCACACCTGGGACCAAAAGTGAGATGGACCACAGAGCAAGCCACATTGCCCAAAGTTGGGGAACAGACAGATGCCATCGAGTGAAATTGGGTGGGAGGGTTAGAGAGAGGCAGGCAGTTAGAAAGCAGGAGGGCAGAAGGATGGAGACGAGGTGGGGCCGGCTGGGAGGTCTGGATTTGATGCAGTCAGTCCTGTCTCAGCCACGACTTCCCTCCAGCTCAGAGGATGGTCAGCCTGTCTAGCCAAGATAGCCTCTTCCTGACCCTATCTGAGTTCAAGGGCAGAGAGCCAGGAAAGCTTCATGGTTAGAGTCAGGAATAAGCCTGGGTTTGAACCCCAACTCCTTCAGCCCTGACTGTGAGACTTAGGTGAGTGGTTTAACCTCTCTCAGCCTCAGTTTCCTCATCTGATAATAATTGCAAGGGTGGTGATGGTAGTAATGAACATGGTGATGGTCATGAAGATTCTGATGGGATGAAGGTGATGGTGATGAGAAGGATGAGAATGATTTTGGCAATAATGTTGGTGATAATGAAAATGATGATGTCAACATTGGTGTTGATGAGGGCACTTTTGATGGCTGTGGTGACAACAATGCTGATGCTGATAAGGAAAAGTTGGATGGTGATGTTAACAATCGTAAGAATGATGGTGCTGATGGTGGTGATGATAAGTGAGGGTAATAGTAACAGCCTCCTCTTCAGAATAAACGTGACGAGTAGGCTGGAAAACCAACTCAATGAACATGAATTTGAGCAAACTCTGGGAGATAGTGGAAGACAAGGAAGCCTGGCATGCTACAATCCATGGGGGTCACAAAAAGTCAGACACAACTTAGCAACTGAACAACAGTGAGAGACTGCAATACCTTGAGTGACTTAGCTTCTGTCTCACTTATGCCATCTGTACAACAGTGACAAACATTCATACTGACCTCATTGGGTTGTCCCAAGGACTAAATTCACTAAAACATATAAGTGCTTGACACACCAGTAAGTTCTTAATCAACACTGACAGTATTAATAGTTTTTTTGTCGCTGTGTTCCCCTTATTTTCAGAATCATTCCTGTGTATCCTGGGCTGGTACCATTAGCCTTGTGATCAGTGCTCTAGTTGCCGTTGGTGTGACTCACCACGCTGGCCCACAGGACTGGTTTTCTGACCTGTCCCTCCTGCTTCCTGTATCTTCTACCATTAGGTTTCATGGATGCTAAGGTGTCCAGGGGTTCTGCATGGGATTCTGCTAGGAGAGGGGCCTCCTGGCTTCCTAGATCAGGAAATCAGGGGCAGGGGAGGGAGAAACAAAGTCTATGTCACAGTCATCCTGAAACTGTCTCTGCACAACGGGTATGTGCCAGCCGTGGGTGCCAAGTCAGTTGAGCTCACCTTCACGCTTGATCCTGCGAAGCGGCAGGCTGTGGACCCAAAGCTCCTTGGCTACGTGGAGGGTCATGTGGGTGAATCCTGAGGGTTCGTCATGGACTCTGGGCTTTCAGACCAGGGCGACCAGCCGGTCACTCCAGATGTCGCGTCTTCCTCAACCTCTCCCGCCTTGCCTTTCAGAGACCTGGACGGCAAATCACATAAACCTCTGCCCCTCGGCGTGGAGAACGACCGAGTCTTCAATGATCTGTGGGGGAAGGGCAACATGCCCGTCGTCCTCAACAACCCGTACTCAGAGAAGGAGCAGGTAAGTGGCGGTGTCAGCCTGGTACCCACACTCCACGGTTCCCTGAATGTTCTTGGGAAGACAAGTGCCAAGCCACCTTGGGGAAAAAATCAGCCGTTGTGGCTGGAGAAATGGCGTGGGGGCTGAGGCTAGCAGCACTTACCCTGGACTGTGGCTTTGGGCTTTGATTTGGTGGGTTTTCTTTGCTAGCTTGCCAGTTTTCAAATTTTCATTGTTTCTACCAGGAAAGATATTCACATGATTCTGAATTTAGAAGGTAAAAAAGATAGATGGTAAAAGCTTCTTCTCTCTTCCCACACCCCAGCCACATAGCTTCACTCCCCAGAGGCAAGCAGTATTCATTATTCATCATTGTTGTAGTCCTTTTAGCAATGTTTTATGCATAGACAAACAAATACATACACATTATTTTCATATGTTTTTATACAGATGAGAACACATCACACATACAGGCAAACCTCATGCTATTGCATTTCATTTTATTACATGCATTATTTGTGTGTGTGTATGAATTGAAGGTTTGTGGCCACCCTGCATTGAGCAAGTCTGTTGGTGCCATTTTTCCAATTGCATTATTTTTAAGCTAAAGTATGTGCATTTTTAGACACAAGGTTTTTGCACAGCATATAGACTACAGCATAAGAAGTACAGAATGGGCTTCCCACGTGGCGCTAGTGGTAAAGAACCTGCCTGCCAATGCAGGAGATGTAAGATATGCAGGTTTGATCCTTGGGTTGGGAAGATCCCCTGGAGGAGGGTATGGCAACCTAGTCCAGTATTCTTGGCTGGAAAATCTCATGGACAGAGGAGCCTGGTGGGTTACAGTCCATAGGGTCACAGAGAGTCAGGTACTACTGAAGCGACTTAAGATGCACACACACATAGTACAGTATAAAAATGCATGTAACCTTTATATGCATTGGGAAGCCAAAAAGCTCATGTGACTCACTTTATTGTGATATTTGCTGGATTACTGTTGGTCCAGAAATGAACCCACAATATCTCCACCATATGCCTGCATTGTTTTGTATCTTGTTCTTTCATTTATCAATGTGTCTTGGAGACTAGTCCTGATTAGTAGGTGAAGAGAGTCCTGGTTCTTTTTTCATGGCTGCATAATATTCCCTTTTATGGCTCTGCCATATTTATTGAACCAGGCCACCAAAATGAACACATGGCCCATCACCAATATTTTGCCACGACATCACTATAATGAATGACCTTGTGCAAATACCTCATTGGCAGATGGTGGGCTTATCAAAAGAATAAATTCCTAGAAGCAGTTGTTGAGTCAAAGGTCATATACAGTTGTGACTTGGACAGAAACGGCCAGATTGCTCACCACAGAGGTTGCACCATACCTATCTGATAAGTAGGAGAATGACTATTTCCCCCCAGCCTTCCCAACTTGGAGGGTTACCAGACTTTTCAGTCTTTGCCAATTTGCTGAGGAGGGTTTTAACAACAGAGTTAATATGGTTTCCTGAGAGTGTCTAGAGCTGGCTAGAGACTAGCAGAGCCTGTTTCTCACCTGCCCAGGCAGGTAACAGAGCAACCCTGGTGAAGCGTGTGAATTTCCCACCCCTGCCCTGCACTGCAGCAAAGTACTACTGGAATGGCCATCTTCTTCCTTCCCTCCACCAACCTCAAGCCTTGGATGGCACAGGCCGGGTTGCCAAGCTCATTCTTTCAATGCTTAGTCTTTGGACAGCACTTTTCCCATGTAAGCAGTGACCCATAGCCTCTGTACATAGCCTCATGGGGGAGGATGGGACATTCCAGAGCATCAGTGGAACTTGCTTTCCTTAGCTGCCAATGGCTGGCCAGGAAGAGAAGGACATCAGGGATCCAATAGTAGGTCAGACCCATGATGCCAGTGGCCAAGCACTCTGTCTCCTACAGTGACACCTAGGAATGTTTGGTGGACAAGGCACAATTTTAGTTTTCTATTATGCTGTCCTCAAAAATCCAGCTCATGTTGTGAGTGTGAGGACTATTGTTATCCATCAGTGATTAAGTGAACAAATAGAGCTTGAGTTTTCTTCATGTTTTCTCAATTGAAAGTAAAGGGTGTTGCCATAATGCAAACGCTCTCAAGACAAAGGAGGGCAGAGAGAGGCAGACTCAGGCCAAATCCAGGCTGTAGACATGATTTGTTGGGTTTGCACTATATTGTCCTATAGATAACTTATATTTATATTTTGAATTTATTGCCAGTGTTTCAATTTTTTATGTAACTATCATATTTGCAACTTCTATCACAAATATGAACAATCTGAGCACATTGAGCCTATATTCTTGTGGGGAAGTAGTCTGCCCAGACTGAGTAACCGCTGCCCCCACTACACAGGGCATGGGCTCTCCAGTTTGCCCCAATCCCCACCACTCTCCAGTACGCCCCTCTCATTACCACCAACTGTTCATTGTCATTTATCATAACATTAGCACTGTTGGTTTTCTCATAATAGTTAGGATATGGACCAAGAGATTCACACATTTCAGGGAAGATGAGAAAGATTTCACGTTTTGTAAGAATAAAGAATATTCTTTTGTGTTTGATATGCAACCAAGTGTTCTGTCTCAAGATTACCCAGCTGGCTTTACTGATTTGCCTTACCTACCTGCTCTAGGTATCAGAGTTTATCATCACTGGCCTGCAGTAACTCCTAAGATCTGTGCTGTAGGGAAGAAGCAGAGGAGGCCTTGACCCCACCAGGAGGACCCTAAAAGTCCTGCTGAAATCTGAGCCTTTGCAGTCTGATGACCATTTCCTTTCACCTTGGTCAGACAGTGACCAGTTGAAAGATATAACTTTGAACTTCAAGCCTGAGTAGTAGGGCTCAATCCTGAGGACAGGACAGGGGGTCAGTAGGCCCCGGGACCTTGGTGGGGCATCATGATGAAATGACCAGTGTCTTAGTCTGTCTGGGCTGCTATCGCAGAATACCATAGACTGGGTGGCTCATAAACAACAGAAATGTGTTTGTCACTGTTCTGGAGGCTGGCACTGGTAGATTTGACATTCGGTGCAGACCTGCTTCCTGGTTCGTAGACCGCTTTCTTATGACTGTGCTCTCACATGGCAGAAGAGCAAAGGATCTCTCTGTATCTCTTTTATAAGGGCACTAATCCCATTCATGAGTGCGCCAGCCTCATCACTTCATCATCTCCCAAAGGCCCCACCTCCACATACCATCACATAAAGGTTAGGTTTCAACTGATGAATTTGGTGGAAGGGGGGGACATAAACATTCAGTCCATAGCAATTAGGGGGAGGCGCTGAGAACTTGCCTTAAGGCTGCCTCTAAAATGGAAACTCCATTTCTGTGGAGGAGAAAGTGTGCTGGAGAAAGGGGGAAAAGATGGTCTTCCTGAGGTTAAGACGGCCAAACAGTTTTAGACTTGGGAGCTCCTGACATACAGACCAGCAGTGCTTGGACTTAACTCCTTGACCGTTATCAAGGAGTAACGTTGCTGTTAGTCTGTGACCCAAAATAAGCTTCAAAATCACTGGCCTGTGAGATTATCCAGGCTCTGCTGTCTGAGACTCAATTTTCCAAATGCCTCTCAGAAATAGAGTGAAAAGGAAGCAGAGACCCAAGTGCTCAGTTATATTGAAGTCCCAAAGCTAAGCAAACAGCTCGGCTACCTCCTGCTAGACACCTCCACAGCCACAGGGCTCAGAAACATTTCCCAGGCAAAGCAAATTAGTTGAAAACCCAATGAGTTTCTTTCTGACCTGAAAGACCAGCTCCTATGTTCCACCTCTTCTCTATCTGCTCAAAGCCACTTTACCTGCAGCGCCTGGAATTGGCTCCCTTCTGTCCAGTTGTAACCCACATTTGCTGCTTTCTTAGACATCCAGGGAAGGGGTAGCATTGTTAAGAACACAAAGAGAGGCCCAGCGACTACCTGCCAACAGGAGCTGGTGGAAGAGCAGCTGGTCTGCATTTTCCCTGCAAAGACTTGGCAAAAGGCAACAGAGCCCAGGGAAAGTGGAAGAGATGCAGGCTAGACATGAGAAAGGACTTCCTGACTCAGACAACTGTTAGGTCCCTGAAGGAATATTATGGTCTGCCCCACTCTCCCTGATACTCTCATTTGTCCAGATTCAACAGAAATTCAGCCGTAAAAGCACCTTTTCTTAAGTTAGCCTCAGAAATCTGGGATGTGTGTCTATACCTAGTGGTCATCTCTCTTGCTGATAGCTTGGGTCAGCAGTGGGTAGAACCAGTGAGACCCAAATCCCTGGTCACTAGAACATAGTGTGTGAATGACTTGGTGATGCTTATCTTTAACATCCCCTGACAAGTTGTATCTGGCCTGCACTGGTGGATAGAATGAATCCATTCACCCATCGCACAAATAGATAGTCACTCAATACTGCCACATACACAACTCTGGGGTAGAAGCATAGGCGAGCAAACTTTGCCCTCCCTGCCCTCAAGACCTTCACGGATGAATGTGGGGAGATACACACATGGACAGTGCAGTTAATCCTAAAATAGAGAGGGGCACAAGACACTGTGAGGCCATAAATACCTCAGCAGGTATAAGAAAAGATTTACCAGAAGAGGTGACATTTTGACCTGGGTTTTGAAGATCATGTAGGAGTTTGCCTAGAAGAAAGTTGGGGAAAGCATTATAGTCTTAAAAGAAACTGGGAGGGCTGACAAACTATGTTTCTTTTTCTTACTAAGGATTATTATTTGATTGCTAAGATTGTCTTTGGTGCTAATTCCACCTGAGATACTTTGAGTCTTGACACCATTCTAAAAGCCCCATACATAATAACCCTCCTAAGTGGAAATGTTCCCCTAGATTAGTAAGAAGGTGCTATTTGTTCATTCTTCCCACAAAACCTTAGGATTTGACTCAAGCCCTTCTCTGCTTCCTTTCTTATTAAGCACCTATTTCTCTTGCCAGCCTGATTTGCTTTCCTAAGGGGTAGGAGTGGAACTGTGTCATGCTTGGAGGTAGAATGTCTATTTTCAGATACA